CATTCAACATAGGGGTCGCCGGCGCGCGCACCACGCAGAGGCGCCCCGTCCGGACGGGCACAAACAACGCGAAACACAAAACGCCGGGCCCTTAGGTCGACGTCTCGCTGTCGTAGCGCGGGTTCGCGTCGAGGAAGTCCCAGACGAGCGCGGGTATCTGGTGGCTCGCGTGGCCGAGGAGGAAGGCGAGGACGGCGGCGACGACGAGCTGGACGATGCCGAAGCCGCCAGCTTCGAGGTCCTCGGCCTCGAAGGCCGCCTCGAACCTGCCGCGGGGGGAGGCGCGTCGCCGCGCGCGCGCGGTCCGAAACGGCGGGGACGCGGCGGCCGCGCTCGGCGACGGCCGCGGCCTTGTCGCGGCCCGCGGGCGGCGCGGCCCGGAGCTGCTCGAGCTCCCGTCGCGCGTCGGCGACCGCGCGCGTCGCGTTGTCCTTTTCGGTGGCCATGTTCGCGCAAAAGGCGATGCCGTCGTCGAGCTTCGCGCGCAGGTCCTTGAGCTGCGCGACCATGGCCTCGGCGCTCGGCACCTCGGACTCGTCGGCGTCGGCGACGGGCAGCTCGGGCTCGTCGAGGCGCAGCAACGGGCCCGCGGTTTCGAAGGGCGGCAGCTCGACGCGCGCGCCGGGCGCCTGCTTCATGGACAGCAGCGGCGGCGCGTCGACGTCCTCCATCGCGCGTCGCGGCGCGCCGACGAGCCGCGCGGCCGACGGACGACGCGCGCGAAGCGCTGCGGTACGAATCGGCGTGGAGGGGCAGCCGTCGAGACCGCTGTTGAAGGCATCATCGCCATGTTTCCGTTAGTGGCAAGAAAGCATGGCCAGGCATAAGCGTCGGGAGAGCCGTTCTCCCTTCCCGTCCAGCCTCGACGGGGAGCGCGACTCTCCGGTGGGCCGCAAGCGCCGGCGCGTCGCCGCGGCGCCGTGGCGGCGGGACGACGACGACGCGACGCTGGACGCCGAGGCGGCGTCCTTCGCCGCCTGGGCGCGGCCGAGCGGCGACGAGCGGCGCGCGCGGCGCGCGCTCGAGCGGCGCGTCGCGGCCGTCGCGCGGGGCCTCTGGCCGCGGTCGACGTGCCGGTGCTACGGGTCGTCGGCGAGTGGGTCCGACTGGTTCGAGAGCGACCTCGACCTGCGGGTCGAGGTCAACGAGCCCATGACCTACCTCTCGCCGAGCCGCGCCTGCGTCGAGCTCGAGGACGCGCTCCGGGCCGCGGGCGGCGCGACGGGCCTCGAGGCGCGGCCGCACGCGCGCGTGCCCATCGTCTGCTTCGAGGACGGGCCCACGGGCGTGAGCGTCGACGTGTCCTTCGCCGACGGCGACGACGACGGCGACGCGTCGCCGCTGAAGCACTTTTCGCCGGCGCACGACCAGGCGGACCTCATGCTCGTGTTGAAGGCCTGGACGCGGGGCGCGGGCCTCGACAAGCCCTTCACGGGCGGCGTGGGCTCCTTCCGCCTCGGCGTCCTCGCGGACGCCTATCTCCGGCGCTACCACCGCGATCCGTCCCGCTATCCGTCGGGCCGGCTCGCGGGCTTCCCCCGCTGGTGCCTCGACTCCTTCGACCTCCACCGCGACGCCGTCGTGCTGCGCCACGGCGGCCGGTCCGCGCGCGTCGCCTACGGCGGCGTCGACGCGTCCCGGTTCCGCCGCGCGTGCGCCGCGGCCGTCGCCGAGCCGACCCTGTCCGGCTGGATCGGCGACGTCGACGAGCTCGCGCGGCGCCGCGGCGACAAGCGGGCGAGGGCGGCGCGGCTCTGCCAGACCTCGCTGCGCGGCGCGGCGATCCCGCCGCCGCCGTCCTACGCCGCGCCCGAGCCCTACGAGCCGGACCTCTTCGGGATCGAGTAACAGCGCGCTCGCCCGCGATTATGCTCATAAAACTAGCCGCGGCGGCCGCAGCGCGTCTTCTCGGGCTCGCGGAACGGGTTCTGCTCCCGCGGCCGCGGCCCGCACCGCGTCCGCTCCGGGTCGCGCGCGGGCGCGCCGCGGCCGCAGCGCGTCGTCTCCGGCTGGCGCAGGTACTCGGGCTCGCGCGTGAAGAGCTGCGCGGCGAGCTCGTCGTCCGTCGGCGGCGCCTTGGGCCCCCGGCCGCACCGCGTCGCCTCCGCGCCGCGCGCGGGCGCCGCGGCGCCGCGGCCGCCGCACCGCGTCTTCTCCGCGCCGCGCGCGGGCGGCGGCGGCGGCGCCCGCCGCGGCGCGGCGCCGCTCCGCCCGCCGCAGCGCGTCCGCTCCGCCTCGCGGAACGGGATCTCGCCGCCGCCCTTGCACTTGACGACTTCCGGCACGCGGACCTTGCTCGCGAGGTGCGTCGGCGAGAACGCGCCCGCCGCGCAGGCCACGGGCAGCAGGTTGTTGCGCGTCGCCGCGCGCGACCGCTGGCTCCGCATGGCCGCCTCGAGGGGCGACTCGACGACGGGCGCGCGCGGCGACAGGTTGCCCAGCTCCACCTCCATGGTGAAGCCCGGCGCCGCCGGCTTCGGCGAGCTGAACTCGGGCTGCTCGCGCGCCGCCTCCTCGGCGAGGAGCGCCGCCATGGACCCTGCGAGAGCTTCTCGACGCAGCCGGCGGAAGTCGGTGGGCGTCCTCTCAAAGGAGCTCTATCGGCATCTTATCGGCGAGCACTGGCAAACTGCAGCTTCAACACTGCCTTCGAGGCCTTTGTCATGACGCCTCCTTCGCGCGGCCGGCCCCGAGCTGATCTAGCTCCGTGGTCGTCACACCGGCGCGCCACCACGTGCGCACTCCCCCCCGAGCCGGCCGCTCCGCCGCTCTAGGCGCCGCGCGCCGCCCCGGGCGCGAGCCTCAGAGGTCGTTCTTCTGCGCGTACTCCGCGGCGAGGTCGAGCTCCAAGAGGGGGAGGCGGAGGTGGGCCTTGACCTTGGCGAAGTTGGCCCCGCTGCCCGCGTCCGGATCGTTCTTCTTCTTGTGGTAGGCCGCGAAGTAGGCCGCGTTGACGCCGTCGACGCCGTCCGGGTCGCCGGGCCCGCCGGGCTTCTCGGCGTCGTAGGCGACGCGGGACCCGCCGAGCGCCGCGCCGCCGCCGGCGACGCAGCGCGGCAGCGCCGCCTGGCACTTGTGCTTCATGTCCGCGTTGAGGCCCGCGACGGTGCAGCGCACCGTGAACGGGTAGAGGCCGTTCCGCGGCCGGTCGCCGGCCTCGGGCTCGCCCGGCGCCTTGGCGAGGAAGGACACGTGGGACCGGACGCCGCCGCCCTTGCGCTCGCCCCGGGGGCGCCGGAAGAGGGGCCGGTCCAGCAGCGCCGCCGTCTTGATCTGCTTCAACTGCTTCTCCGGGTGGAAGACGCGCGTCGCGTGGTCGCGCCACTCGAGGCCCGGCACCTCGGCGTTCTCGATGGACAGGCCGTCGTCGCCGACGAGCACGTCCTCGAAGATGCACTGGAGCGGCTTCGCCAGCGGCCCGCCCGCGGCCTCGTAGTCCAGGAGGCCGAACGCGGCCAGGATCGCGCGCGCGGTCTCGAGGAGCGTCGCCGCGCCGGAGACGACGAGCGTCCGGTAGGCCTCGCCGCCGCCCTCGACGGACGCGCAGCCCTGGAGGAGCACGCAGAGCTGGAGCTGGACGAAGCGCGCGTCGTCGCGCGCGCCGGGCGCCGCGAGCGCGGTCCCCGCGGCGGGCAGCGCGCGGCAGAGCATGCGCCGGTGCTCGACGGCGCGCGCCTCGGCGGCGGCGTCGTCGGCGGCGTCGTCGGCGCCGCCCTTGGCCGCGAAGGCCGCCGGCGCGGCCCGCGCCCGCGGCGACCGCCGCTTCTTCGCCGCCGCGCCGCCGCCGCCGTCGCCCTCGCCGTTCCGCGCGCCGATGGCCGGCAGGGGCCGCGCCTTGATGGACCCCGGCGGCAGCGACGGCAGGGCGCCGAGGGCCGCGGCGACGTTCATGTTCGCGGCCATCTTCCGCTTCCGCCCCTGGAAGCGGCTCTGGGGCCGGTGCGCCTGCGGCGAGATCGACGGCAGGCTACCGCCGCGGCGCGGCGGTTTGATCGACGGAAGCTTGACGCCGCGGGGCTTCGGCGTCGTTGCGACGGCGCGGCGGCGACGCGCGTGCCGCGGGGAGGTGCCGCGCGTCGAGGGCGGCGGCCGCGGGGCCCTGACGGACAAACAGCGCGGTCGCAACGACCAAGCCCGGGGCAGCCTTCAGGTCCGAGCCGCTGGGGGAATTCCACCGAGAGTGCGAGTCGCGCGCGCTGGGGGAATTCCACTGAGTTCGAGCCGCGCGCAAGTTCGCGCAAGTTCGCGCGCGCCCGCGCCGCGAGAGCTTCAAAGTCGCGGCAAGTGCTTACGCGCGCCCTCAGGCGGCGCCGGCGGACCAGTTGCCGAGCGCGTCGGCGACGAGGACGTCGGACGCGGCCCAGAGCTTCGCGGCGGTCTCCGCGCTCGCGGCGGCGGCGGACGCGGGCCAGGGCCGCGCGATGGGCGCGAAGTAGGTGCCCGCGGTCTCCGGCGCCTTGAACGCCGGGTCCAGGAGCGGCCGGAGCACCGTGAGCGCCGCGTCCGTCGCGCTCCAGTAGAACGCACCCTCGAACGCGTCGATGAAGCGCTGCGGGAGCTTCGAGAAGCGCAGGAGCTTGCCCCGGACGCCCCCGGGGTGCACGGCGTGCGCGATGAGCTTCGGCGCCGCGCCGGCGGCG